TTGCTCGGGTGCGACTCAGCCACACACAAAGCCTGGGTTTTGATTCTTTGTTTTTGAATGGTTTTGGGTAGACCTGTACTACCAGATGATTCAGCTCTTGGTTGCATCCTGACCTGTATTCCTGGTTCTGAGGATTTCGGCGAGCGTGTCTTGATTCCTGGGTTTGCCAAGGATGTCAGCCTCATTTGAGAGATGTCGTAGTATATTTCATGATCCGCTGCCTCAGGGGTTGTTTGTCACACCCAGTGGCAGCTCTTTGGACACTTGACTCTGGGCTGGTGAGGGAGAAGGCCCCATTGGCCCCTGACCCAGATAGCAAGTTGGCCCCTTGCATTGTGAGGTTACGGGCTCTGAAAGGATCGCCCACGGACGGAGCCTTGCAGACTTGCAGGTTTTGCCGTCCCTTTGGCTCTCAGCAGAGGCTTACTCCATGTGCGAGCTCAGGCTCTGAGCAGTTGCTCAAGTTTCACTCCCTGTTCGACATTTTAGCCGTTTTGGACAAGCCAGGAAGCACTCTCAAGCATAGGCCAGATGCACCGGTGGAAGCCCCCTCCAGGGATTGAGGGCCATGAATAAGCACGGAAGGATTTGCAAGGCTGGGGAGGCACTCCTTAAAACCCACCCACAACGGGTACCAACTTCAAAAGAGACAGGCCCAAATCATCGAACCCCCAAACATGGCCGGCGTCCTTTTCGTTTCCCGCTAGCCCAAATGGGGTTAAAAAGGTGTCGGGAGAAACTGCACGGCACGCAATGTCATGCTGGTGCAGGGCTCAGCCTGAGAGTCCCTTGGATTCGCTCCAGCCGGTGACCTTTTTGTGGTCTATCGGTTTTGGAGACGGAACTAGTTTCTGGTGGCCAATGTGTTTTGCAGGGGCCAGGGCAAACAAAGCAGCCACGCAAACACACCACTCAGATTCAGGATGCACTTGCCAGGATTGCCTGGATAAGCAGAACTACGACTTGCATTATTCTTGGCAAATGCGCTGCCCTGCTTTGCTTGAGCATGCTTGCAAGGATTCCACATGAAATGCATTGACTTGGCATGACCGGCTCTCAAGGGACCGTAGCAAGCGCTGTTGCCAAGAGTCCCTTGCTGAAGGCGTTGGGCCTCCTGGCATGCGCTGCTTCCGCGAATTCGATCTTTGAGGAATGGGTGTGTGCATTCTGCTCTGGCCCACTGAGTACCGGTATGGGTATGTCTTTGTTAGGAGACCCCCCCCCCAAATGGATTTCGGTGTTTCTTCTTGCCACAAGCAAGGGGCCTCCACGCGCTTTGCTTTTGCAATGCTATGTATATACATGTAGAATCTATGCATTTCCCTACAAATATATGTATCTCTCTCTCTCTCTCTATATATATATACACATACATGTATACATACACGTGTCTTCATGCGTACATATGTATATATCTATATACATATCCACATATATATATAGAAAATGAGGACACCCCCTCCCCCCAGACATAAACATAATATATATATATATACAGATATACACATAAACCCACAAAAAGACAAACACACAAAAACAAACAAACAAAGCCCACCCCGGCACTGCTTCACAGGTGTTTACATGCTGTTGTTCCAGTGATTGTTCGATGCAAAAAGTCACGGGCATGTTCTGGCCATTCTAAAACATAGAATGCAGATATACATGGATTGTGTGTATGAGGATGAACGCAGATGGGCCAAATGAGTGGTGCAAGCACACTTGAAGGCAACACAATGTGTGATCCATGTGCATCTCTCCATATATATATATATATATATATATATATGTATACACATATAGCAATGTATGATCCATGTACATCTCTCTCTATATATATATATATATACGTACATCATTGATATATACATATATATATATATATGTACACGTATACACACACACACATTGTGCAAGTACCTACGAGAAGTGGGTGTTCGCCCCATATCGCAGGATTCGCTCGATGCCTGGGAGGTGCTGAAGGAGGTGATTCGCTCAGACATGGGGTCGGGGCTATCACCTGGCGGTGGGTCCGAAATGGGTGTAGGTTTAAAAGGAACCCCTTTTTGGGATGGCTTTACAGGGAAACTGAAGGGGTTGAGACAAGCCCAAATCGGGTCCCACCGAAAATGGATTGCCCTGGTCAGTGGAAATATGGACGATGTAACCTGCGGTCCATGCCCTGGTGGTTTAATTTTGACCCATACACCTTTAATAAGTCTAGGTGTGTGTGTGTGGGGGTGTCTTTTTAAGGGACCCCAAAATTTTTGGTTTTCCTTTTGGGTTCCCTTTAAATCCAAAGAAAAGGTGAATCCCTAAAAAAGACACACCCAATGAGTCTAGGGAAGCTGAGTCTTGAAACTGAATTTCCAACCCAATGCCGATCCCATGTGGCGCATGTATCTTGTGGTCTTGAGTGTTTGTTGCGGGCATGTACAGGGGTCATGGCGCAATGGCAGCGCTTGCAGGTTCAAGTCCTGCTGGCTCTGGTTGTTATTCTTACGTGGAAGAATAGGTGGGTTTATGACAGCCAGCCGTGTTCCTTTTGTTTTTGAACCAGGAGCAACCTGGCATTATCTTTACACCGCAAGTGGAAACAGGAGATCTCCAAGCCAGCATGCATTGGCCGCTTGGTTAAGCATTGGTGCTAAGGATGCATAGCGTGAAGAGATGCTTGGGCAGCGCTAGATTTTGCCACGCCATGAATTGGATTTGCCAGTGTCGTCGGTGGAGCGTATTCTTAACGCACCCAGCTTCCTTTCGGTTTCCCTAACATCTACTTTCAATGAAAAGGGCACGGTGCCTTCAATGCTGGGCCACCGGACCCCCCCAAAAAATGGATTTTGTTTTTTTCCTTTTGGTTTCACTTGAAAACCACAAAAAAGGGGGTACTCCAGAAAAAAAGGACAAAACAAACATATAAATCCTCGGCTCGCACAGGTTTCGCGACCGCCAGCCTCCTTGCGCTCAGTGCGGCGCTTCGCTCGAAAAAGAGGCTCACAGGCCCGGCGTGACTATCGACCTGGGAAAGTCATGGACCCCTTGATTTTGATGGCGTGTGGCGTTGTAAAAGCGTAATCCAGGGTCAACATTGGGGAGTTTAGACAATAGGATGAGTTTACTAGATCGGGAGCCATGACCACGGCACGAGGAGTTTTGACCTTGCGACGGGTGCCCGGTGGCCAGTGGCTCGCTGCGTCGAATTGGGTTTTCTTTTGGTTTCCCTTTACACCGACCTGAAAGCGGGCGCCCTCAAAAATGCGCCCAATGAGGATGATTGAGCCTCGCACACAACAGTGACACGCGCCTCAATGCTTGCGCACCCTCGATTGCAGCGCTTGAGTTGCCTTGACCGAGCCTTGACATGGGATATGGACCCCTAAATGGGTGGTTTGCATTTGGTTTCCAATTTAAATAGAAACCCTCAAAAAAGGTACCCCCACAAAAAGACAACCCCATATTACGGGTTTCCCGGTCGATCTGCCAGGCTGACGGTATGAGCCACGATCCAGTATGCTTTGTGTTTTTTTTGTGAGTAAACCCCATGTCTGAATGGTCACTTGGTGAGTGCCCCCATCCCCTTTACAAACGATTGTAGATCTTGACCATTTATGCGCTTACACCGCAGACAAACAGACCCTGGTATTTCAGAGACCCTTTGCTGGACGTATGCCTGGGTGCTTATGTCCACCAGCCAATTCAACTGGGGTTCCCCCTCCTGGGATGGACACTGCAATTTTCATGGACACATGATACAACAAGTTACAAAGACACCCAAGCCCGGATAAGTAAAGCTCACTAAGCGATAGTCCCAACCATAGGTACCAGGGTAGAGTGGAATCATGACAGGATATTTGGCACCACAAGAGGATGTCAAGAGCAGCAGCAAGCACTTGTGAGCCACGATTTACTTTGTCCAGTTTCACGTTATCTTCGGAGGTTTGTCATAGATTTGCCCATAGGTACGGAAGCCCTGCTGATTCGTGCAAATGGTTTTGGGTGAGAGGGTTTGAGTGTTTCCATCGGCATGGTTGGCAATCCCCACTGCAGCCAAGGACCAGCGACAGACTTTGGAAACGCCCCGGGGCGAGAGACGGTTTCTGGTTCCCTCCCGTCTATGCCGTGTGACGAACGAAAATCACACAAAATCACCAAAGGGCTTCCAAACGCGGCAGATCTCATGGTTGTGCGAAATTGTATTTCTACACCAGTATCTGCGATGCCAACCCTTGTTTGAAGTTATTGGTATTTTCAACCGTGGTCTGACCCGCCAGTGCGATCTTCTACGGGCAGATGGACTCTCCAGGGAGGCTCGGAGCGCGGAAAGGTTTCGAGTGTGACAGCTAAAAGAACACAACACATTTTTGGCTCGCCATTTTGACACATACTGATACGGACCTTAATGAATGACATAGATGACATGTGTGATCAATGCTTTGCAATTCTGGTCATGGCAAGGTATTGTCGGCATGAAGCACCTGCGAACGTTGCCTGGAAGTCTTGGCGTTGCCCCATTGTCGAGAGCTTTGCGTTCTGTTGTGTTGATTTTGCTTTTGCTTCTGCCTGCTTTGCTTGATTGGCTTGCTTGTATGTTTGTGATGCTTTCGGTAGGGTGCGTTTCTTGCCTTTTGGCCAGGGCTTGGCAAATAGCGAAACCCTCGCGTGCGCCGCGATTTTCAGATCTTCCGAAGGCCAAGGCTCAGGTATGTGGGGTATTTGTCAAGGGAAAGGGACCCATGGTTTGTGGGGTTTTTCTTCGGCTTCCCTTTCAACCAGCGGGTGAGGCGCACGCGGGTGACGCGTCTGGGCAGGCAGCGACTGGCTTGGGGAGCCTTCCGGAGCCCATCCTTCTCTCGAATGTGCTTTCAGGCCGGGCGCTTTGTCGGTCGATGGTCCCTCAATTTCCCCTGTTTTTGGACCTAAAACGGCTTTTTTGTTTCAATAGAAACCACCAGTAAAATCGCTTGTTTTTAAGATCATGCGCAACTTCAATTGTAGCGCATGATGATTACGGGCATCCACTAGTTTATCCTGGGCAGTGGCAACAAGTCTTGTATCTAAACTACATAGTCAGTTTCCTGCCAGTCCCTACTTTGTGCAGTGAACAAGCACATTGACATTTTGACTTGCCTCCAGCGGCCATCAAAGCCAGTTCCGCACTGTCGGAAATGCAGTTAAGGCGCTTGAACAACCTTCACGGCTGGACCCTCTGTAGTCCTCATCGGGTGCGTCCTGTCAACTTCAGCCCACTTTTGCCGATTAAAACACGCGGCAGCTTCCTCAAGGACAGTGGAGGAGCCCTTCGAGAGGATGTTAGTAGCCCTCCTAAGTTCATTGAGAAGAGTGTAGTCCAAGGTAAATCGTTGGTTTGCAACTTCTATTCCGAAACCTGAAGTAAGGGACACTCCAGTAAATGAGCTCTTGGTCTTCGCTCCTTTTGCACAGCTGCTGGCTTTTCCCAGGCCTTCCACAGATCGAGCTCGCCAAGCATGGCCAAGAGGCCGCTTTGCGACATGCTCTACGACCAGCTGGGTCAAAACCCAGATACCCGTTTTTGGGTAACCCCCGTTTTGTTTGGCCCAACAAAAAGGGAATCTGGGGGCTGGGGGTTTTGACTCACAACCACGTGTCATTTATGGTGTACCTTTATTGTCTTATTGGGGCTTCAAAACAAACCCCACACAAACCACCCATTTGCGGCCTTACCTGTTTTGACTGCATTGTTTGATATCAATCCTTCATTCTTATGCCCTTTAGTCATGTCTTCGTGGTGTCCCGCTGCGGATTGCGGATTGGGGCCCCTCCATTTTGACCAACCCAGAGTTTTGGCGCCGTGGACGGGTCAATTCTCAAGCCTTCAAGGGTGGGGCAGCCTGCAAAAGGCAGCCCTGAAGCGAAGGAACTCAGGAGCCGACCGCATGAGCTATTGCCAAAAAAGCTTGTTCAACATGCGGTGCTCTCATTCCGGATGGACGTCGGGAGTCCGCGGGAATGGGTGGTCAAGAGAGTCGTCGTTTTCTCCAGTCGGCTGTGGTTCGTTTTTGTTTCGGGAGCCCTTTAAAGGCGTGCTTTTCCGTCGCCAAAAAGGACATCAGGGCCCATGTCTTTTTTGGGGCAGGGGGGGCTATATTGAGCAGAATTCCAGAGTTCCCTTTGTGCAGCCCATGGCTCGGTGACTTCCAGGTGTATCGTGTCAACAATGGCCGCTTCGGGCCTGGCAAGGTGCGGACAGGGAGTGACCAGAGCTTTCTGAGTCTCCAACAATCAGGTAACCCTTTGGATTTGAACCCGTTCTTGCAGAGGGTAAACGGGATTTCCCATTGGTAACCCTCAGCCGGTGGCTTGGATTGGTGGGTTTGGGATTTGAACGGGTCCCGGATTCTTGTAGAGGGTAAATGGGATTTCCCAGCCCTGAAACAACTCCACACCACGAATCCAAACGAGGGAAGCAATCATCACCTGGGCCAAATCATAGTGGGGCGAAGGTATCGATCGGTCTGCCATACTCCGCCAGCTTCATGAGGCCAGTGCCAACCCTTTCTGTGCGAGCGGCCCATGTGCAGTATTCAAAACATACCTGGCTCAAATACAATGGGTAATCCACTGCCATGACAGTGACCTTTTGATTGAGGACACCAAAAACTGCACCTTTTCCCTCCTCAATGTCTCTGAATCCTTCGTTCGTCAGCGGCTTGATGAGGCGTGGGATGATATTGTTGCTGAGAAAATCCGCAAGCGTAAGGAATTTGTCCATTGGCCCACCCCTTGCCTTGTTTTGAACTCTGAAGGGTTGGACGAGCTTTGCGAACGTGACCGCGCCATCATGACACACCGCCTCACCGCTGGTGTCATTCTGCAGCATCACCGCCGGAAATGGGCTAATGGAAGTCCCGACCCCTGCCCAATGTGTGGGGAGCCCGAAGACCGCGTCCACCTAACTCACAACTGTACCGGCACCAGTGACATCCGGGACGCAAATGCCGACCTCATACACCAAGTCTGTTCGTGGGCTCCATGGATGGTTGGCCTGCCTCTTGCATACAAGCACCCGGACCATGAAGCCCTGGTTCTTGCAAATTGCCAAGCCACCTTTCCCCCTCCATTTCCTGCCCAAATTGACTCCCATGGAGAGGTTAGGATCTTTTATACTGATGGCTCCAGCCTGAATCCGACTGCCCCTTTCGGGGCCATTGCCAGTTGGGCCATAGTTGAAGACCTTGCCAATCATGATAGTGATCGGATTAGCCACTGGCGCAGGTACACCGAGAACTGGGTCCTGCCTGACAGCTTTCACTGTGTGCAAACTTCAACCGTTACTGGACGGCAGGCCAGAGCCGAGTTCTCTGCCCTCATTCAGGTTGTCCGATCCTGTGATGCCGCCATTATCTGCACAGACAGTAAGTACGCCATGGACCTGTTTAACCAGGTGGCCGGGTGCAGCCAAGCAAAAAAGTACATTAAGTGTGAAAATTTTGACCTGATCATCATGCTTTGTGACTTGTTCTCCTCAAAAAGGGCTGCCGACTTTGTCACTCTAAAGGTCAAGGCCCACCTTGAAGACGAACAGATCACAAGTCCGCTTGAGGGGTACGCAGTCTTGGGAAACCGCCATGCCGATTATGCTGCCAAGAAAGCAGCTTCGCCCGAAGCTAGTGCCTTTGCAGCTCGTGCATTTGAGGTGTGCGCTTTTTATAAGAAACAGACCAGGCTCAAAAAAGATTTCTTTGAACTTGCGGTTCAACTTGACAAAGTGCGCCTCGATGCCCTTGACAAGAAGCGCATTGCCGAAAAGCTTGAAAGCAAAAACCGTTGCACTGCCACAGCTCTGAAAGCATGGCAGCCTCAAGAGTGTGCGCCCCTACCACCGATTCAGCTGACTGATGATCAGCTAGCTTCTTTCCAGTCAGGCGCCTCACTTACAGTTGTTCTATGTGAATGGGCTGCAACATTGCAGTGGCCGAACATCAAGCACCCTGATGACCCAGGAATTGCCCTGGTCGAACTTGTGTACAACTTCTTGCTGGTCACACAGACCGCACTGCCCCGCATTGTAGCTAGATCTGCAAATCGGGTGACTTACGAGTATCCAACAGACCAAGGGCCCTTGGCCCTCCTTCCTGGTGCCTTGGAGGATGCATGCCGCCTATTTGACGCGCTTGATAAGCAACTTAAGAAATTCTATGGGAAGGACCTCTTCCCACTGCACCTTCGAGGCAAGATGCCTTTCCTTCGATACTTTGGTTGCAGTCAAAAACGCGTCGGCTACTATACCAGACCACTCATGCTTCGAAGCCTTGAAACAATCAGCGGAATCGCGGAAGGCCTTCAAAAAGGCACAATCAACTCGTTGCACGTTCCCAACATGCCACCGCTCATTCAGAAGAGACATCATCCAAATGATGACCTGTCGCCGGATGAGGTATATGCCACCTTCCGTAGGCACCAACAGCGTGCTTACGCCAGGTGAGGGCAAGTCTTGCCCAGGGGCGTGAATTCCGTCCCTTTTTCGTTCTGGGGGCCCCCGTCAATCGACAAGGGCGTTTCAGCGGACATGGATTGAAGACCGCAGGCCAAATCATAGTGAGTTTCCTTTTGGTGAAGCGATGTTTACGGGGGTATTTTTTTCGGGAGCCCTGTCCTTGCGTTTTCTCGAAGAAGCACATCGAGTGTGAGCCGCAAAGGATCGTTTGGGCACTTTGGGGGTGTCATTTTTTGCGAGAACTCTTTTTGGTTGGTTCAAAGGCAAAACAAGGGGAACCCCGCCAGTTTTGGGAACCCAAGCTGGAAATCAGGAGCCCCCAAGTTGGAACCTTCGGTCTTCGCTTGTTCTACCCCCGGTGGAACCGCTCTTGACAGGTGCACCGAAATCTACAGCTGCAAAGCCCGCGTCCTGGGGGTCCATGACCGGCTGAACATGACCAGCATGTACCCCCTCCAAAATGCATTTTTTTTAAATTAAAGGGTATGATGTCAACCCTGTACTAAAAAAAAAGGTATTTACCCTGAGAAACTGTTTTTTTCCACACGCCCTGAAAAAGACGGTATTTGGAGTCGGGTATGTGTTTTGTGTTTGCCTATGAAGGATTTGACCCTGTTCACCAAGCTGTTTCAAAGACGCAGCGCCAGAACACTTCCGTGTGCAAAGAGGTTTGCATACTTTTCTGGGCAAGACCGTCAAGGTCGGCATGTAAATCCTCCATTGGTACAGCCTGTTGCTCAATAGATTTCAGGTCTGATGGTGTATGGTCGTTTGAAGCAGTAGTTGGTGCCACTGCCACTGTTTCATATGGGCATGCCTTTTTGTGAGGATACCCATTGGGGAAACCGAAAGCAACACCACTACCTTTGGGGTCCCCTACAAAGGACACCCCTTTGCTCGCAGCGCACGGACGTCTTCAGGCATAGCAATACTCCTTTTTGGAGGGTACCCCCGCTTTGCTGGTTTTGAAGGGACGCCAAAAGGAAAGCCACTATCGGGGATCCCCTAAAAAAGACACACCTGTGTGCTCGTCGTCTAGTTATGCTTCCATGAAGCTTGTTGCCTGAGGTTACTTACAGCACAACTCTTCTGACTTTCACATCTTCACCATCAACAGGCTCATTGGTGATAGCTTCAGGTCAAAAGGATGTGTGTGTGTGTGCGCGCATTTTTGCGGGTACCCTTTTCACCTTGGTCTAAATGGGAAACCAAAGGACCAGCGGCATTTTGTTGGGAGTACGCATCCCTATTTTGGCACCTACGTGACGGGTGATGTGCCGCTCTTTGCCTTGCCTCCCGAAAAACTTTTGTGCGAACCGAATCCGAGGCGAAGCGAAAGCATCAAGACGCTTTGGGCCTTTGCACCCCATGTAACATGTGGCTGGGGGTCCTGGAAGACCAGAGGGGGTGGTCTTGTACCATCGGGGATTTTAATGTAACTCACCTTTTACCATGTAACCTTTTGAAAGAATCCCCTTCGGAAGCACCGGGTGGTTGAATGTTAGGGTGACCGTGAGCCAAGGCTTGCAGTCTTGTTCCAGGTGCTTGTTCCTCATTTTGCCAGGCCGGGTCAAGATGAGCCGGGCCCTTCGCTTGTAGATGAGGCGGCTGCGGGTTTTCGCATCCGTTCCCGTGTTATGAGAATCATGGAACTCGTCAGTGCAGAGGCACGGCCAACTGTTGGACCTTTGCGGAGGGTGTTGGAAGACGAATTTCTTCTGAGGAAGCCCCTGTCCGCTTCCGAAATTGTGGGGAAGTTGATGGCAATTGCATCGCCCTAGTTGGCCCTAGCTCCGAATGTGCTTCTCGGTGTAGCCCCAAACAGCGAGCAAGGCATCGTGAGCAAAGCAGCCAAGTGAGCACGGCGATGTGTTTGAATCAGGCGGATTGTTGGGGTATTGATTCCCTCGAAGGTGGTAGGTGTTGACAAGGCTGCTCAAGATAGAAGTGAATAGTCTTGCAATATCTTATTGGGATCCCTCGAACTTGTGAATTAACTACGTTCCCACTCTCTCCATGAGTTCCTTTATACTTTTTCTTCTTTTTCTGCTTCTACCATTTTGATGGTAGACCAAACGCTGGAACTTGCTTGGCAGGACGTGTTCACCCTCACTTTTTGAGACAACTCGGTTGGGGTTGCTGGTTAGAAACCTTGGCCCTTGCTCTTGGGCCGCTCGTTTCCGCCGCAGGTTCAGCGCCTGGCGCGAAATGTGCTGTTGGCGGAAAGGATTTCTGGGCGTTGGATTCTCTCCTTGGGGCTACAGGCGCGGTTTTTGGATGTGGAGATGGCTTGATTGGGATGTTGGCAAGATATTTTGAGACTTAGCATCTAGGCGGTTTCAAGCCCAAAAGTAAGTTTGAGATCCCCGAATGCAGCCACCCAAGAGGGACCCGAGTTCCGTTTCGGACCATTTAAGTGGCAAGCAAAAAGTTTGGTTACTGTTTTGGGCCAATCCGTACGATTTCCAGTGCTTGTCCATTGGAAGGGTCCGCCTCTTCATTGATTTCACCTCCAGCTTTGAGCTTTTGGGCAACACTTGAGGGAAGCGTGGAGCACAGAGGAGTCACTCAGATCAGTTGGGCTCACCTTTGATTGGAGATATTGCCAGGTCTGGACACTTCCACTATCAAAGCATCTGATTTGGCTGGCCCCCACCAAATCCAAAGTGGCGCACGTCCACGTCAGCTGGATGAACATGCGGTCATTGACGAGCGAAAGCCTTCAAGCAGAATGTACTGTGCTGAACACGTTGGTGTCACATCACAAGACACCCACTGATTCGCTTGTGACGCAGCTGAATGCGTTCCGTCGTGAAGCTGTTTGATTCTGGGTGCAAGATGCTTCTGCAAGAAGGTTGTGTGTACTTTTTTTCCCGATAGTTTTTTTTTTTTTTGGGGGGGGGGGGCGGATTAAAAGGGACATGAGAAAGGACCCCCAAAATCCATTTTGGCGCGAGGGGGTCACAGTCAAGTGGTCAGCATTTTGACAGAACTTCATCAGTTGCTCGGAGCAGCTTCACCGCCATTTGTGTGTCGAAATCGGGATTCGACTTCTCTTTAAATCAAGCTGAATTGGGTACCCTCAAGAACACACACCCACATGCAGGCGTCTCATGTTGATCGGCATTCCCATGAGGCCGGCGGCTCAGTTGCCCAAAATTGAGCATTGGGCATATTATGCTCTAGAGACTTTCTTTTATTGCATCGGCAACTTTTCGTGGCTGCAACTCAGAACTGCACAGCTTTGAAGTTCCGAGCAGTGTATGTGCATGAGTGAGTGTGTTTGTGCTTTGCATGCAAATGTGTGGAAAGATTATTGGCCGAGATCGGCCCGTCACGGCCCAGGAATCCTGGCTACTGCTGCTTCATGGAAGGCGAGGGCTGCGCCATCGAATTACGGATCGCATATGCCTTGTGAGTAGCTGGGTGTGTCTTTTTTTTTCAGGCTACCCGTTGCACCAAAAGGTTTTAGGGAAACCAAAAGGACACTGAAATCGCCCATGTTTGGGGGTCCGACCCATGGCCAGGAAAGCATGGTGGATTGCTGCTGCCTGAGGCTGCTTTCAACGAAATCGTCGCACCAAGATCGTCAAAATGTGGAAAATGACGGGGAAGTGCTCTTAAATACTGTGATATCGTTTTTTTTTTTGAGGACATCTACTATTTGTGGTTCCAAAGGAAAACCGAAAGGAACACCGAAGCCAGCGTCGGGGGGCCCGAGGCTGACGGAAGTGGCCAGAACCAGGACTTTGGCGCCTGGGAGGACTCGGATCGGATTTGGACGAGTCGCATGGTGAGGAGCTCTGGTAGTCTACGCACTCCCTAAACAGATTTCGGGGTTTTCCCCGCATTTTTGTCCCTTCAAGACCCACCAACAAGTTGGGTGCCCTCAAAAAACCACTCTGAGTTCATGGACTTCAAACTTGTGGGGAAGACCATGTTGGAGGTGGCTGACAAGCTTGGGATTTTTTGGCCAGTCCCATTTAGGAGTCTAAGACAACTCCGGGTCTCCTCAGAACATAGTGTGAATTTTAATAAGGGACCCTTTGGTGGTCAACCGCGTTGAGGAGGTGGCTCTGTATCGAAATTCATGGTCCTATGTTGTACTTGGGGTGATGTTAATATGAAACAGAATCTGAAGCTATTCCTTTAATTAAGAACACCCCAAACGGGAATGGGTCAAACTTAAACCATCAGGGCACCACACATTTTAGCTCTTGCTTCCATGTACCAAGGATCCATTTTGGGTACCTATGCTTGACCCAGACCCAGATGGCCAAGTGCTGTGGTTCATTTGAAACACCTTCTTGAAGATCTTGCGAACATGTCCGTTTACCCCGACAACTCACATTGCGTCATAGGTCCCAGAGGCAAGTGCAGTGACAGGGCGCCAGCCATCTCCCTTTGTATTTCTCACGTCCTGAGTTTGTGAACTTTAAGCTTTGTGATGGTAAACAAGCCCGGACTTAAATCCACTCAAGTGAGATGATGTCGTTTTCCGGGTCAGCTCGGGGCCAGAGTCCAGGCAGCCATTTTTTCGGACGCAAGCATGCAACTCAGTTCGTACGACTAATATGGGTGTGTCCCTTTTTTGGGGGGACGCCCCACCAAATTGGTAGTTTCCTTTTGGTTTCGGTTTAAATCCTACGAAAAAGCGGCACCCTCAAGACAAGACACCCATGACCATGGCCGCTTGTTTTGACCATGTCAACTGTGGATGCGTCCATCGGGGGGTGCTTCAAAAGGAACCAGACCCAGAGCTTCGTGGCCAGCCTATCCTGCTTTGTCTATCGTTTGCGCTGTGAGGGACATAGGGGGAAGACCTGGTATCCATAGGTGTCCTTTTTGGTTGTTTTGGTTGAAAAATAGATGGCACTGGTTTACCTGGTGGTTTAATCATCTACCAGGACCATCTATTTCCCCTAAAAGGACACCCATGCTGGTAACACTCTACTTTTGACCGTAGCACCTATGGGCCCAAAGATCAATGGGCTTCCCAGCTGTTGGCAGTGGAATCCATGTTGATTTTTCCCAAAAGGACGGAACAAGTTCAGAAGTCGTCACCAAGCCTTGACTTTGAATCATCTATGTTTTGGGCTCAGATAGATTTGTTGCCAAATGGGAAACGAACCCTCGTAATAGGTGATTTCCTTCTGGTTGCCCATTAAAGCAACCACAGAAGAAGGGGGTACCCTCAAACTACACGCACCCAGATGTTTTGTATTGGTAGCGGGCATGTTTTGCAGAGGTGCTTGTGCAGCCAACAAGTATAACCAACCCACCCCGGATGTTGGCAACCGATGCTTTGGATGGCTGGTAGGATCCCTGTGGCTTCTTGGGTCATCGACCACCTGCTGGGGTACGCTTCTGCGCCGGGATCTAAGATTCGAGGGCAGCTAGACCTGAGATCAGGAAACGATTGAAATTAAGCACCCTCCTTCAAGATGTAAGATGTTGGAGGAAACACCCTCGTTCTCAACATTGAATTTAACATGCTCCCTCAACATGTTTGAACACCCTCCCCTAAAATGGAACGCCATAGAGGTACTCCACTGACGGGTGCATAGATCTTTTGCATACCCCCTACAAGGTCAATGAAACCCCCCGGACACATCGGACTCACAGGTGGACAGGGCAAGTCCATTGGAAGGTTGGGAATTCCGCCACAGAGCATGTTTTTGTCAAGCAAGGTTTGGATCAGCGGACCGACACTTTGCGCAGGGGACAAGTTGTTCGGCACATGGGTATTGGCCTTTGGAGTTGTTACCTTGGCGGTCCTTTTGAAGGAAGCCTTCTTTGGAGGGGACCTTTTTTGTTTGGGGGTAGTCTTTAGCATCCTTCACCAGCTTTTTGTTTAGGGGAACTTTTTTTCGAGGCTAGCGTTTCTGTTGCAAGAGAGCCTTTGGTTTGAGGCTCTCCTTGCCATGGGCACTTGGCACAAATCCACGGTAGGTGCAGCAACCCGGAGAGGCGCGGTCCGAGAGCGTCGGAGCCCTTTGCGCCTTAGCGCTGTTTACTCATGTGACCCCCAATCGGACCCATGGAACATGGGGTGAACCTTGGGAATTAGACTTACATGTTTGGTTAAACCCATGTTCCATTTGTTCCATTGCTTGAGTACCATTGTTTGATTTGTGCTTTCCACATGACAAGTGTCGATCGGTTTTGCTGAAGCGGTATGGCCCGGACGGCTTGGTTATTGAACCTCTGGTTCTTGCTGAGAGCTGGGAAACCATTCCTGGGATCAACCTTTTGCACGTTTAAAAAGGTCAACCTGGTCAAAACTAGGTGTTGATTTGTAGGATTGCATTTCAGAGTTTCCTCCATTTCCCTTTTTGGAACCTCCAAAAGTGTTGATTTGAGTGGGCGCTAGTCAATTGATCAACTCTTTCGATGGGAATTCCAGTGAAGCCTGTATTTTCCTATGTCTGATTCAGGTGTTGTTCATCGGGACTCATCTGGAGCACTCCACCTGCAACCTCGAGCCCTTGGTCTTGGGCGTCAGGACCTGAGTCCGAAGCCCAACAAACACCCATGAGTCTGTCCTTGTTTGGGGAACCCGTTTTTGGATGGTTTTAAGGAACACTAAACGGTCAATCGAAGTATTTCCGGGGGTCCCCCTATTTTAAGGCAGACCCATGTAACAGGGCCTAAGTAATTACCAATAGTTTACCTATTCATGGTTCAAGTTGGTTTTAACGTACCCGTCAACCTCATTCTTAATTAATTATTGGTCCTTACAATAGGGTGCTCCTTGCATTTGGAGCCACTCTTTCAACTCTTCTCACTTTTGAACTTGGTGTCTTGCATGTTCTTCTTGCGGACTCCCTGTGAAAGGAGTTCGCGGGCCTGAATTGTCCGACTCGCAGTTTCTGTCGTGGAACCAACCAGACATGTTCAGTTTCTTGTGCTTGCAAAATGTGCGTTTTGCCTAGGCCTAGGGGCTCATGAATAGAGAGCACGCGCTTGAGCAATCAACACCTGGGAAAGTTTTGGGGACAATCACCTTGCCATACATTCTTGCCGGTATCCGCCTATCCGCCCTTTGACTCTTTACGTTTTGATTCTGACACACTTGAGGTGGGCGCCCAGGGAAGTCGTGCTGCCAGAGCCTTAGCTCAAGTGGACCACCCGACGTCTTCTCACTCTGGAGGTGCCTCTGTTTAGATCAGTGTCAGTGGTTGTTTCTAGACAGGGACAGACAGAGGCGGACAGAGACAGACAGAGACAGCCAGCTACATACTTTATGTGTGGGCGTTGCGTATACTATATATGCACAACAAATACGGATGAATACGCGCACGCACACCCGCGTGTATGCGAACAACATGCATGAGTCATGTACTGCACACATTCGGAAGAATAATCCCACCACACCCACGACATGCATGTGTTTGGTGAGGGTTTGGGGCTCGTTCCATGTGTCTCATTTGTACCGTCACTCAGCAAAGAACCTCTCTCACAGTGGGCATCCGAGGACTGGCCCTTGGCGCGAGCAGTGCAGGAAGGGCATCTGCCGGCCGCATCCTCATGAGAACGCGCTTTGGCAAAGGGTCCAATTGGTTGTGTCACCTTCCTCGAGCCAATTCGAGCTGTGCCGTTTGTTCAGTTTACGGTTCAACGTCGCAGCCAGCTCGGGCAGATCTTGTGAATTATAACCTTTGGATTGACTCTTCACAACATGACGACATGGTACGGATGACATTGGGCATCACTTCATCACCACGAAGAAACGGAATTTACTCACCAAAATCCATTGTCACTGGACGCAATGAATCACTGTAGTCGACATGCCAGCGCTACAATGAACCCAACTCCTGCAGCTTCCTCCATGAAAGGATATATTCCTCCAAGGAGGTTGCTCTAAGGCGATTGCTCCAACGGCCCTAAAGGGAGGTCCCTAAAGGGGGCCGTTCTCAAGTAGCGGCTGTGTTGGGGTCACTTCCCCATCCAGGGATTTGTTTGTCCAACCACCCAGCACCTAGGGGCAGCTTCGTCAGCTGGACCGTGAGAAGCTGCGACCCGGACGAGTCGGGTCGTCAAAGATGGGGATCTCCTCAAAGGAGACACGGCTTTTTGATTTTGGTTGGGCTTATAGGGAGACCACGAGGATACCAACCAAGTTTGGCGGCGGGATCTTTTTTCTTTTTCTAGTTTTAAGAATCCCTAAATATGAACCAGAACCAAACATATGAGTGTGTCTTTTTTAGGGGACCCAGCCAGATTGGCTTTGGTTTTCCTTGTGGTTTCACTTCAGAACCACCAAAAAAAGGTACCAACCCAACAAACAGCAGACCCATGTTTTTGTGGTTTGGCAGTCCTCGAGCGCCAAACGAGACACTGCAATATTTGGTTCACTCAGTTTCTCCTTTTTTTTCTTCTTTTTTTAAAGGGAATCTATCACTGGATATGATGGCACTTTGTCCAGGGGACTTAAGCCAACGGAGGGTTCAGGTCTGACTCCTTTGTGACATCTCAAAGGGCTGCGAAGCTGCTTGGGCTCCCGGCGGGAAGCTGCCTGAGAGGGCAGTTCATTCCGAAAACTCAGGCAGAGCTCCTTGCAGTATGCTGCCTCCTTTGGGCACGTGGATGTCATGACCGAGTTGCTTGCCGGGCGCCTACATTTTCGGATTTCAGGAAGTGTGTGCTATGGTCACAACACCCTAGGGATGGTCTATGACCAACCGTAGCGATTTTAAACAAATATAAGGATTATGAGGGAGTCATTGACCATGGCATGTGGATCGCATGCCGCCAGTCTGTTGCAGTACTCCTGTGACAGGAAGCACACGCAACCGGACACGTGCACGCACTCATGCACGCACCCAGCACTGATACGCAAGAAGCACGCACCTGCACACACACACGCACGAAAGCCGCTACCTGCGCGCGTACGTGCAGACAAGTACAGACATGCACACACGTACACACGCGCACGTACACTCGAACACATACACAAACACACACACACACACACACACAGACACACACACACACACACACACACACACACACACACACACACACACACACACACACACACACACACACACACACACACACACACACACACACACACACACACACACACACACACACACACACACACACACACACACACACACACACACACACACACACACACACACACACACACACACACACACACACACACACACACACACACACACACACACACACACACACACACACACACACACACACACACACACACACACACACACACACACACACACGCACACGCACACGCACACGCACACGCACACGCACACGCACACGCACACGCACACGCACACGCACACGCACACGCACACGCACACGCACACGCACACGCACACGCACACGCACACGCACACGCACACGCACACGCACACGCACACGCACACGCACACGCACACGCACACGCACACGCACACGCACACGCACACGCACACGCACACGCACACGCACACGCACACGCACACGCACACGCACACGCACACGCACACGCACACGCACACGCACACGCACACGCACACGCACACGCACACGCACACGCACACGCACACGCACACGCACACGCACACGCACACGCACACGCACACGCACACGCACACGCACACGCACACGCACACGCACACGCACACGCACACGCACACACACGCACACGCACACGCACACTCACACGCACACGCACACGCACACGCACACGCACACGCACACGCACACGCACACGCACACGCACACGCACACGCACACGCACACGCACACGCCCACGCACACGCACACGCACACGCACACGCACACGCACACGCACACGCACACGCACACGCACAGCGCACGCGCACGCGCACGCGCACGCACACGCCCACGCCCACGCGCACGCGCACGCGCACGCGCGCGCGCACGCGCACGTGCACCCGCACGCGCACGCGCACGCGCACGTGCGCACTGCGCAACGCGCACGCGCACGCGCACAGCGCACGCGCACGCGCCACTCGCACGCGCACTAGCGCACGCGCACGCGCACGCGCAGTCGGACTCGCACACGCACACGCACAAGCACACGCACACACACACAGGCGCACACACGTATACACACACACACACACCTACACACTTACACTTACACTTACACTTACCCTTACCCTTACACTTACACTTACACTTACACACGCGCACACATACACACACACACAAATGCCTGCAGTCACCTATACGCACACGCACACATTCACATTCCCGTGCACGCTCCGCACGCACGCACACGCAACTCACGAGCTTGTCATGTTCTGCCGCCTCATGAATGCTGAAGGCGAGAGGAGCTCGGATGTCAGGAGCAAGTCACAGACTCAGATGCGAAAGGATGGTCGCATGTCTTGAGTTGTATTGAATCAAACTGTTTTGAAGGCGCGGCAGGTTTCCATCTTGATCAATGTCGATTGGCATACGGTTTGATTCTCATTGAGGCCGCAATGTTGCCTGCGATGCTGACGAAACTATGCGTAGGGTAGCGTTGCTTTCAGGAGGTCGAATAGGGGGCCTGTTCAAATTTCCCTGTACAGGCAGGGGGTCAGCCAATGTGTCCTTGGGGAAACACGTACTTTTGTCCAGGCTCGTTTGGGTGTCTATTTGTTGAGGCCGCGCTGTAGTGTTGAAACGAGTTTCCTTTACACTCCCTCAGACTAACATGGAAGCTCCCTCAATTGGCCTCTGTAAATGGAACCAAGTCTTGCAAAGGGGTCCCGCAAGCTTCCACGTTAGTCTGCGGGGAGAGGTTCCTTACTTTCTTCCCGGCTCTGCAGTGGCTCTTGTCCTTTCGTGGTTTTCCACACTATAGAAGCACCCCCAAGTGGCTGTGGGTCAAAACCAGTGGTACCATTTTGGGGAAGGCGCGCTACCCATTTTCGTCTATAGTGGGGATTGGGGCCTTTGACCCATGGCCAAGTATTTGCAGCTGTTCCCTCGGGTGCGTTCGATGGCAACGTGGATCAGCCCCTCGCTTGCGCGGGCAACGCGGAAGGCGCCGCGGAAGCCGGACACCTGCCTGCTCTCAACCTTCTGCTCCAGTCGGCGGTCCGATGCTAAGGGTCCGGGGGGGACCTTGAGTTCCCCTGGCCTTCGGTTTGTTGTCTTCGGTTTTGTTGTCTTTCTTGTTGGTGTTGTTTTGTTCAGTTCTGTTTGTTTGGTTTGTTGGTTTGTTGGTTGTTTGTTTGTTTGTTTGCTTGCCCGCTCGCTCGCTCGCTCGCTTGCCTGCTTGCTTGTTTTTGTTATTTTGGTGTATTTTATCACTATACAGAAACCAAATGGTACCATAATGGAGGTCAGAAAACAGGTTTTGGGGGGGTGGGGAAGGTGGTCGTTTTTGAACGCGTGTTTTGGCTCGTTTTTGAACGCGTGTTTTGGCTCGTTTTTGAACGCGGTTTTGCTCAAGTGTACGTGATTTACAGCAGCACGGCCATGTTTCCAAGTGTCCACGCACACCACGATGAGGCGCACGAACACGTGGATGGCGCCGCGCTTTTGGGAGACAATCGTTAACTGTAGACCCGGGAGCACAAAGCACAAGGAACGCAAAGCGACATCATCATCATCAACATCATCATCATCAACATCGTCAACATAATCATCAACATCATGATCATCAGCATCATTATTATCATCATCATCAGCATCAACACCAACATCATCATCAACACCGTCATCATCACCAACAACATCACCATCCTCAACATCAACACCATCATCATCACCATCATCAACATCACCACCAACATCTATATCATCATCATCATCATCATCAAGAACACCGTCAACATCACCATCATCATCATCATCACCATCACCATCACCATTATCATCATCATCCTCATCACCATCATCAACATCATCATCGTCAACATCATGATCAACATCGTCAACATCAACATCATCACCACCATCATCATCATCATTAACAACATCATCATCATTATCAACATCAACGTCGACATCACCATCATCATCGCCATCATCAACGTCATCGCCATCGACATCCTCATCGCCAACATCAATATTATCATCATCAACATCATCATCATCATCATCATCATCGTCAACATCGTCAACATAATCATCATCATCATCATCATCAACATCGTCAACATAATCAGCATCATCATCATCATCATCATCATCATGACCATCATCATCAACATCGTCATCATCACTACCAACAACACCACCATCACCACCAGCGCGCAGTCGCACGGTCACGCAGTAAGAGGCGAACGTAACTGCCCCACCCCATCCCCCCCCCCAGCCCCAGAACGCAGTCGCACGGTCACGCAGCAAGAAGCGAACGTAACTGCCCCACCCCACCCCCCCAGCCCCAATACGCAGTTGCGCCGCCACGCAGTAAGCGGCGATCGCAATTCCAGGAGGCTCCGATTCGCAAGTTACTTAGGCCGTATGAGCTAAGGAGGTTTTTTTGTGTCGCGAGGACAAGATAACTCAGAGCTTGAAAGTTCACGAGTTTTCACGGCTTTTTCACTGAGTAGTAACGGCCTTTCAGTTTCCCGCGCGAGTTATTACGGCCGCTAGGCCGAGTTTTCACGGCTTTACGGGGCTCCGGCTCCGATTATTCGCAAGTTACTTAGGCCGTATGAGCTAAGGGTTTTTTGTGTCGCGAGGACAAGATAACTCAGAGCTTGAAATTTCACGAGTTTTCACGGCTTTTTCACTGAGTAGTAACGGCCTTTCAGTTTCCCGCGCTTTACGGGGCTCCGATTATTCGCAAGTTACTTAGGCCGTATGAGCTAAGGGTTTTTTGTGTCGCGAGGACAAGATAACTCAGAGCTTGAAATTTCACGAGTTTTCACGGCTTTTTCACTGAGTAGTAACGGCCTTTCAGTTTCCCGCGCGAGTTATTACGGCCGTTAGGCTGAGTTTTCACCACTTTACGGGGGCCAACGAGCGCAAGTCGCCGAGGACATCTTAGCTTAAAAAATCCAAGGTAACTTGGGACTCGGAGCCTCCTGGTTGCTCCCTTCCTCCAGCCCCAGGGCGCAGTTGCACGGGCACGCAGTAAGAGGCGAACGTAACTGCCCCACCCCACCCCCCCCCCACCCCACGGGTGCCGCAGGATAGCCCCCCCATGTGTTCGAAAATGACCCATTCTGTGTTCGAAAATGATCCAGGACATCGGTGTTCGAAAATGATCCAAAATCGGTGTTCGAAAATGATCCCCCTCCCCTCGCTCGCTCGCTCGCTCGCTTGCCTGCTTGCTTGTTTTTGTTATTTTGGTGTATTTTATCACTATACAGAAACCAAATGGTACCATAATGGAGGTCAGAAAACAGGTTTTGGGGCTGGAGAAACAGCGCCCCCCATGTTTTGGGCCCTGAGTCTTTTTGGACGGATTTTCTCTTTGGGGGGCCCTTATCAACCACAAGAGCCAATGGAAGCCAGGAGAGGTGGCTCCCTTTTGTGCCCTGGTGGGCAACATGATGCAGGATGTGTACTGCAGGGGAAGAACAGTGATCGGCTGAGTTTTCTCTGTCCAACCGCATATTCCGCGACAAATTGTCTATCCACACAAGACAGGCAACAGGTTGTTTTGCCACTGCCGCTGCAAAGATCCATGCCTTCGACATGTGCAGCTGATAGCTGACGTGCATCACATAACAGAGAGCTCTTTCGCTGCACGCACCGTCCCAACATAGACTTGCGTAAGTCTCCTTTGGACTGCTTTCTTCTTTAAAGGGTGGTGCGAGTCAAGTGGATGTGAGGGTAGCTTTGTCAAAGAGTCTTCGGACTTGTTTTTGTTTGGCTTTTCTCCGCGCACAGAGGCGGATCTGGTCACGACCGACTCAGCAGGCAGGCAGTCCTGCTGGCAAAGTTGAGGCTCAGAATCTGTCGGCGCCAATTCCGTCCTTTCAACATCTACAACTCACTTGAGTTCATGGACCTTAGTTACTTTTTGGGAAGCTCATTTTAGTGGCATATACGAGGTTCGTTTACTTTTTTGGGGGCCATCCACTCGATCGGGTGAGACAAAGAGCGAGGTCCGAAAAGGCTCGCCTTGTTGTGGTGTCCCGCTCAAGATTAGGGTATGGGCCATTAGGGGACCGCAGATTGTAGTCCATGCTTCCATTTGCCAGAGTTCCACTTTGGGTATTTTGACCCACAGCCAGGGATTGGGAAGACAACTGGGGGCATCCCACGCAGTCACAACCCAGTGGATCCTCTCCGCTGGCCACGCCTGTCAAGTAGAGCGCGTGCAGCTCGTTCTTGCGCTCAGTGGTGAGCTTGATGCATGTTCTAGGGGGTACCTTCCATTTCCATTCTTTCCAGGAATCCTTCTTTCTAGAAAACCTCCAGAAGCCTAATGGAAACGCAAGGATTTTCAAAGGAACGATGGTTGGAAAGAATGGGGAATCAACCCCTAGACGTGTCCCTTTCTCCCATTCTTTCCAGGTTGCCTTCTTTTCAACAAATATCCCCACACTCAGGCTATCCGGGGATTCGGGGTGGTTTCTCAAAAGCACCTGGGTGAACAAATAGTGGAGATCCAACGTTTAGAATATTGCCTGAACAGATTTGTTGGAAGGAACCGATTGCCTTTGCTTCCGTGCCAGGCCACTGCACACTGCCGTCTCCGCAGGGCATACGGCAGCTTTGGCATGTTCAGAGGAGCTAAACAACTTGAAATGACTAGAAATCAAGTCAGTCTCAGTTGCCTTCTCAATGTTTGAATCCCTCCCAAAAAGACCAATGGCTGCTTGTCGCTGCATTCCCTTCGTGCCAAGACCAGTTGAGGCGGTCATTTATTTGCTCTTGCACCAAGCGGCATCGTTGGCAATTGGTGGCTGCAAGTTTTGAGGGGTAGCTTCCGCATTCTTTCTTTCCAGAAAAAGACCAACCTTCTGTGGGTGGACTAAATCCATTTCGCACCGCACTTGGGACAGATGAACCCCTGTAAATGGGGGAAAAACGCCAATCCCAACTGGTGCGAAGAAGATTTAGTCCATCTAAAGTAGAGAAACACCATGGGTCAGAAATAAAGCAAGGGACCACAGGTTTTGGTCCATGTTAACACTCCAGGGTTCCATGTTGGATACTTGTTTTTGACCCACAGCCACATAATGTTTGAACACACTGATGTCGAAGACCAAACTGCTGGAAACCCCAGCGTGGTTGCAAGCAGTCCTGCGTAAGCTTCCCCCAGCTGACGAGGCTTAGTCTCACGATTTCGTCTTGCCTAGTCCAAAAGGTCCAGTTGAGTCATGTGAAGGTCAACAGCCATAGAAATGGCTCTGTCTCAAAACAGGGGACCCTCCAACATGGCGGATTTGCCCTTGTACCAACCCCCGAAAAAATACCTCAAGCAACAACACACCCAAGTATACATGTATACTGTATATAGGGGCATGCAGCCTCTTCAGGCAACAAGATGCCAGATGCAAGCCACCTATGAGTGTCATGTTTTGTTTGTAAAGGAATACCACGAACTCTAGTTTTCCCAAAAAGCCAGCCGCAAGGACACCTACAACGTGGAACTAAAGTGAGTTCTGTTTGAACATAGGGGTCCTTTCCAGGTTAGTTTGGCTAGACATAGACGGGGTCCACCGGTTTAGAACCTAAGTGCTTGGTGGGTCCCATGGTTTTGTCTGGCCACCGGGTTCAAGCGCGTCTGTTTGGCACAGGCCACGACCCGGCATCTGCTGCAGCTGCGCGCGGATGCGTCGTGGCCAACCTCCCGCCAGGAGTTGTGCGAAGGCTTCCGTTTTTTCTCCAAGAACACCCCGTTTTGGGGGAAAGGGAAGCCAAAGGGACAAAGCACAATTTATTTGTTCTTTATTTGTTTTGGGGGGGGTCCTCTATTTAAAGACACACACGTCCTCCCTGCAACAATTATGGAGGCTGACAGCAGGGTGTGGGAAGACAATTGTCCTTCTGGGGAACCCCTGCTTGCTTCTCTGATTGTTGGACAGAGGGTACCGAATCCCTTTTTGGAGTTGGTTTAAAGGGAAGCGACTATGAACACCGAAGCCATCGTTGGGGTCCCCTTGGAGACAAACGCAACGTTCCAGAGTTCCCCGTTGTGAGTTAGTTGCCTGAAGGGAAGCCAGCCATTTCCACAAGCCAGGATGCATATTCAAATGGGTCATTTTGGGTTTGGGACATGGGGCCAGACAATTTCAACGGAAGCCGAATTTGCCTATGTTCATTGACGGCAAGCTTTGGCCTTGGCTCTGATGGTGTTTCTCCAAACTAGGGACCTTTCCTAGTCGTTGGTTTCCGGTTTGTTCCTTTTCAATCCATCCACCATGGGATTCTCCATATTTTAACAGCTAACGTCCAGCTTGGCACCTGGCGCGAAATTGCCGAGCTTTGTTTTGATGACCCCGGAAGAATCAATAATTGTACCCCTCCTTTGGTGTTTTGCACCGCGCCATGTGATTGCCGAACTTCGGGGTGGGCATGGTTGACTTTGTTTGGGGTCTCCTCAAACGATTGTTCCATTTTAGGGTTGACTAAATAAGAATAATATCACGAGAACACATTTTGTGGGGTGTGCCTCAGGCGTGCCCCAGAATGCAGCTTGTCTTTGATTGGTGTTTGTGGGCTGAGTTTTCCATCCCTCTACAAAATCCAGGGGGTTCAAATCCAAATCCAAACCGGGCTCCACAGCACCAACTGCGGGTTGCCCGAAGAATCGCCCAGACTTGCGTAGTGGTCGTATTCGCTTGGCCCCATTTCAAGCCTTGAGGAGCAGCCGCTGCACTTGGCCACCAGCCACTGCAGGCGGGCCTCGTGGGTCCGAGCGGCCAGCGAGGCATGCTGAAGGTGCACAAAACCTGCCTGGTTTGAGTTTCTCCAACAGTGAACAAGCTGGAGTCTCGGTGACCTTCTCAAAAGCCGGGAAGCTGTCGTTTGACGTCAGCAGTGTCATTCATGCACCTTTGTTGATTGCCTCTGCTATTGCTTCTAAGCTTTTGCCCATGCCCGAAGCATTTTCGCCAGTGATTCATTGTGCTAAAGCAACGACAGACCTGTTGCTCATTTGCGCTGTTTGGCCAGCCACAGACTGATATCAGCGACATGTTTTTTCCCCGCTTCGAGCGCGTACATGTGAAGCGATGCTCCCTCAAGCGCCGCAAGGGATAGCACTGGTCTCAATCAGCTAAACGTAGGTGAAGGAGTTGCTGAGTAGAGTCTCGACAAGAGCAACAAGGGTTGGAATGACCTTCCTTTAAGCAGCTGAGTTTGACATTGGCTCATAGCACTTGAAAGGAGTGTGCGTATGACACGAATGCGGTTTACAGGCACCTGGCAATTGGACTTACCAGCTTCCAGAGCGTAAGAAACGCGACGTACCCGCATGACCGGAGAGCGCGAGCTTGGATAAAACATTTGGAGTTGAACCTTGGACTGTTCGGTGTTCGAAGGTATTGGGACTCAGAGGCTACAAAGACAATGTCGCTTTGGGCAGGTGTGTTTCTAAGAAAGCCCTTGTACAACCCTCAAATAACCTTTGTATATCCTTTGGCTCCTCGGGGTAGCGACTTGGGGGCACTGATTTTAGTCCTCTCGTGTTGGCAGGGCGCTTCGTCGACCCGCCCGCGCTCGCGACCCAAACGATTCGAGCGGAGGTTGACCAGCCTGCTGCTGGCTGCGGGCGCCGATGCGGCAGCCACAGACATGGAGGGCGTGCAGCCGATCCATTGGGCTTGGGGGCCTGGAGCCAATCCGCGAGAGCGAGCCGACGGCCGGGGGAAGCGAGATGAAAGCGTGGCTGTGAAACCAAATGGTGGATGAGACTTGAGGCTTGCTAGGAAGGAGGCTTGCTGAACTCTGATTTCTAGCTTGGTTGGTTGGTTGCTTGCTTGCTTGCTTGGTTGCTTGCTTGCTTGCTTGCTTGCTTGCTCGGTGGGTCGGTCGGGGGGTCGGTTGATTGCTGTGCGATGCAGGCTGCAGCAGGTGGCTCTCAATGCGCGGTGCGCGTGCTTCTGGCTGCCAAGGCGCGGACGGGGTACATGTCGAGTTCCCGACACCGCGGATTTTTGAGGCCATAGTGCCCCCCCGAAGCGAAGGATCCCCTTTAAAGTGGGACACCACATATTAATCAACAAGAAATGTCTCAATCCTGGGTCAACAGGCACATGGGGTGTGTCTTTTGTGGAGGGTGCCCTCCGTTTGTGGTTTTCAACGACAAACCAAAAGGAGCACCACCATTTGGTGGGTTCCCCCAAAGAAGACAGACCCAAATCTTTGTGGGGAGCCAGCTTTTCAAGGGGGTCCTTCCCAACTCTCCGGCCCTGGGCATTGCATGCAGGCGTCGTTATCCTCAGCCGACGGCGTGAACGGTGGCCGCTGGCTAAGCAGCCGAGGGGAAGCCGTCAGCAGCCCCATCTTCAACTGAATATGTTGTTTCCCTTTCAACTGATCTAAAAGAAACTACTTTAGAAAAGACGCACTCATGTTGGGCCAAAGCTGCAAACACGCTCATGCCGCAGCGCACGTGGAGCAGCTACTACACACATGCTACTACCCACCCATGGCTCCCGTTTTGGCCGTGTTCCCGCAAGCTTCTTCAGTTGGGCCGTTGCGTGTCGCTGGGTGGCTCAGGGTGTTCTCTTGAGCTAGGAACATTCCGATGGAGCCAGCAGCTGGTTGCGGGCCTCTAAATGGACACCGAGAGCACTCTGCTGCCTTCTACACCGGGAGCGCCGTGCAAGGGGTTCAAAACGAAAGCGATGAGACGTGCCACCTGCTTCCCAAAAAGTGTACACGCCGTTTTTAGCACCTAGTCATTGGGGATGATTCTCTTCCCCTGTTGACCTGAAGTCTGTATCGCCAAGTTTGGGGAATGGTTTGGGAAGTGTCTTGCAGCTCATGAAGACGGGTTTAGACTTGAGCATCATGAGGCCAAAGAAGACAGAACCGTGTCTCATGTTCAGCCTTGGCTTTGGTACTGGGATGAAACTCCGTTTGGTGCTGCTCAATCCCTCTGCTTCCCCCCACCCCCCAAACACACCACCCCCCGAATCACGCCTCTAGGGGGTGGTGTCCCATTCTTTTCAACATAGCAGCCATCGCAGCCAGAACCCAACGCTCAAGGCAACTGTGAAAGCCCCAAACCTGGCGAAGGTTTGAAGCCGAAGTCGTCACACTTGATCCCCACACAAACCAAGCCTAAACCGACCCACCCACCCACCCACCCACCCACCCACCCACCCACCCACCCACCCACCCACCCACCCACCCACCCACCCACCCACCCACCCATCCACCCACCTCGTTTCGAGCGCCAGCCGTTTTCCTGAGGTTTGGGTTGTTTGTCAAGAAGGATCCCTAGAAAGAACGGGGACCCCTAGAACACTACCCCCACACCATGACTGAAATCGATCGAAGCTGGGGGTGGGAGCAGTTTGACTTCAACCCGCAGGAGATGATGTCACCTTGCTGCCACAAGGTTCGCCGCCTCACGGCGATGATGCCCCGACTAGAGCTGCTCCGAAGCTCGGAAGTCGTGCCAATGAGCTGCTTATGGTACTTTCCTAAAAGGAAAACCGCATGCCAATAGGTGTCCTTTTTGGTTGTTTTGGTGGAAAATAGATGGTCTTGGTTGACCTGGTTGAGACAGAATTACCAGGACCATCTATTTTCCTAAAAGGACACCTATGGGCATGCCAAACTGCCTCACTTTTGAAGTTGGCAAACTTTAAACCTTTGGCAGGGTTCTTCATAACTCGGCATGTCAGCTGCAGATTGTTTGGTTTTGAAGCTCCACTCAGCTGGCCGATTGTGGGCCAAAGAGCAACACCAGCAGGCGTGTATAAAGCATTGGCCTTCCTCAAAAGCATTTGGAATTTGGGTGGATCGTCTCTTTTTTAGTTGGTACCCTTTTTTGGGTGGTTTTGTTTGGGACACCTATAGGAAACAGCCGTTGGGGGTTCCCTAAAACGACAGACGACATATCTTGCATTTGTATTTCGCGGCCCATCTCTCGCTTTGCCTTGGCGCAACCGCTTTTTCCTATGTCTGGCTGCGCAAAACGTGCGGCCCAAGGAAAGCTGGAGAATCGGAGTCTATCTCCTGGGATTTGACGCAGTCGAATCCGAAGGGAGCTGACGCCACCTTCTGGCCAGAGTGGAAGCGGGACCAGACGCCCAGCTGAGATGTACCCTTCCACCCACAAACATAGCACCTGTGCGGGGGCACCTGGAAGATCATTTTACTCTTAAAGCAACCCCAGGTGCACACTGTGCATCACGTTGCCAGCGATTTGTCTCCTTGCGCGTGGGCCTTTTGTCTGTGGTCCCAAAGTGGGCTTGACCCCAAAATGGGCTTCGGTTTTCCCTAACATTCCCCACCCCGTACCTCCAACCTGGCCCTTTAAAGCCGCATCAACAAGTTTCCTTTTGGTTTCCCTTTACGGACCACAAAGGGGGGTCCAACTACAAAATCATACACCCCCGCGCAAGCTGTTTTCAAAACGGGCTTCGGTTTTCCTTTTGGTTTCCCTTCATACCAGACCAGCAAGGCCAAGAATGGCACCCAAGAATGGGGTTTCAGCTCCTTCAAAGCCACCCCCAAGACACGCGGCCCGCCTTTTAATGCACGTGGCTCGTGTGAGGAAAGTGGGCGGCGAGGCGGAGGCCTGGGCCGCCGGCCTCAGAGGCGGCGAAGATCCCGCCAGCAGCGACCCGATGGTCTTCGGCAAGCCACGCCACAAGGCTTGGGCCGGCTCCTGGGCGGTTTCTCAGGGTGCTTTTTTTTTGCCGTTTTTTTTTGGGTGGAAACCACATCCCCCTACCTGGGTTGTTTTTTTTAGGTGGTTCTGACGTGTTTTTTTGGTTTGAACCAAATCCCTCTTGGGGTGTTTAGGTTCTTTCAGTGTTTGGCAGGGGATCAGTTTGAACAGCCCGGAAGGAGCGTGGTCGACGCCCCAGCACCGGGGACACGGACGCTGCCAGCAAGGACGGGATGAAACGTGGCGTGCGTCTCTCTGAAAAATGGCTAGAACCTCCAAAACGGGTCCCGTTAAAGAAGGCAACGGCAGGGTGTCAAGAAAAATACGCCCATGAGTATGAGTTGTTGAAAAAGGACTTTTCTTGAGTGGGCATCATCTACGTGATTGGTGTCCACCAACCGTTGAGGGTGGTTCAGCCATTGAAATTCATAGCCATGGAGACAAAGTCAGGCCAACGTCGGGGCTGAAGTTCTTAAGCTCTCCATGGAGGCCGCCACCTGAAGCTGCAGAAACTTGCAGGTACTCAGGGACCACTTGTCAGTGTGGGAATGACCCACCGATTGAGGGAAACCATTTGCCAGGCCGTGACATGGCCGGCAAAATGGCCCAAGGTCTCTCACACCATTAGACAGCCATTTGTTTTGATTTTGTTCTGAACGTTTCAACTCCTCATTCCTGGCAATTTGTGTGTAGCATGCCAAATTTCCGCATTCCTGGCCTCTGGCTCTTTTGAGAGTCTCAGGAGGCCAAGAAAGGCGGCGAGGAGCTGGTCTTCTCGAATCCCTGCTTCAGGAAGGAACCGCATCGAAGCGGCCTGCCTAGGATGAGTCTAAGGGAAGACCATGGAGTGGGGTCTCCGAAATGAGTTTGTAGGGACCAAGATTTCGTGCATCAGAAAGAGAAAGGCCTTTTTACTGGAGGGGTTTGGATCTCCATCAGGGTCCCAAGATTCTTCACACATTAGACCAAGTAAGGTTTATCCTGAAGTTCGGCCATGAAGTGCCTCGCATTCGGAGGAGGTTTTCGCTTGAGGGCGCTCTCCTTTCTTTACGTTTTGCAGGTGGGAAAGCCATTGAAGCCGCGGCCATTTTGAGGATCTACAGATTGACCCAGTTGCTCAACGAGCAAAAGCATGTGAGACGACTATACCTCAGCAGGGCCTTCGGCTTCAAGATACTGTTGAGTTGAGCTGTTTTCTGTTGGTTTGACTTGGCTGCTTGAAGGAGATTACGATGTCCGCCCTTTCTGGGTCACTTGCTGCAACAGCTTCAGGGTTGCGACTTCTTGGAGGCGCCGGCATTCAGATGAGGCGCCAGCAAGCCGGCCGCGCGGCCGCCGCGCAACGCGGGCAGCCCGCCCAAGCCGCAGCGCGGCGCCTCGCCTCTGCGCCGCGGGATGTCGCCGCATCCTTCGCCACAGCTGGGGAGGTGGGCTTCCTCGTATTTGGATATGGGTACGGGTCAAAATTGAACCACCCGGCGACCGCAGGTTTTAGTCCTTGGTTCCATTTACCAGGGCTCCATTTAGGGTACCTATTCTTGAGCCACAGCCATATGAAGGGGAAGAGCCTTTAGTCTGCTTTCGCGATGGAGGTCACCATGTCTTTCTCCAGTCTTGTGTACCGGTGGTTTGGCAATTGGAAGACGGACTCATGAACCATGTGTATGCGGCAGCGCGCGCAGAATGCAGACAGCTGGTTGGAGGAAAGCCCGCCCTGAGGGATTCGCGGCGGTTTCATGGAATTAGCCACGCCCTCATGTCTTGTTTAAATCGGAAGTAAAATGTCCATGTTGCTCGGGCAGAGCCTCAGGCTCCATTCCTTATGACGTGCACCAAAGGGGGCTCATGTTCAATCATTCTCATTTTCCCTTGAAAGCAAATCATGTGCTGCAAGGCTCACTTGAATTGGGTGGCTGAGTTTGTTGCAAAACCAGGGGCCGCTGTTGTTCATGCATCCTGCCCGTTTCTTCTCATGTTTGTTCCTTGTTTCCCTTTTCCCGTTTTGTTTGTTCCTCGTTTCCTTCTGTTTCTTGGTTTTCCCGTACGTTTTTCCCGTTTCCCACGGTTCCGCTTTTTTTTTCGCGCTTGGTCCGCGTCCAGGCCTGGCAGCCGCGCTCGGCGCAGCGCTTCGCAGCCGCCGGACGCGGCGGCGCCGGCGCTGGAGGCGGCGTCCGCGGCATCCGAGGCCAGCCCGGCGCGAGCCGCGCGGGCGCAGTGGCTTGGCTGAGCTTGTTGTTTTTGTTCTTTTAGTAACCCAGCCTTACTTGATTGTTTGCGTGTGGTTTTGGGGCTTGAACGTGGAGGGTAAAGAGCCAAAGGGCCCGCAATCTTCAAACCACTAGTCCAAACCATCAAGGAAGGGGAAGCTGAAAACAGGCCGTCATTAAACCAGCCAAATCGGGTTTGGCACAGTTGAGAATGTTGGGAGATTGCAATCCCCCCGTTTTGTTTGCTTTTGGGACAATTGACGACCTTTTTTGGTCGGCTTTCAAAATTCACTAGATTGATCCATGCTTTTTTAAAAACTACTCGAGTTCCTTCGGTGTGGTATGTGGTGTTGTTTGGCTCTCAAAGGCAATCAGTTTTTTGTTTTGTGGGTGGGGGGGGTCGCAA